CGGAAAGAATTTCCCCTCTTGGTGCCGAGGAGGATAACAATGCAGCTAGGCACCGCCCGCGAAAAACACCTTCTGGCTGTTTAAGGCAAAAGAATACAAGCAGCCCAAACGTCCCCTCAGAGAGTCTTGCAGAGCCACTTCAAGCGAGGGGGGCCTGGTCTCAGCTGCGGGGGCGAGGAGGGGGGGCTTTCCTTTCTCAATCCCTGGTCAGGAGGCAGGGAGGAGGGGGGGCAGCCCTTCCACGAGGAACCTCCGCAGCCGACTGCTCACGCAGAACGGCTGCAAAGCGAACCCCCGATCAGAACAGAACAGCCGTGTTCGGCGTAGGACGTCCAAACTGGATGCCCCGTGCCGGCGAAGACACACCCCCTCCCCTTGCCGTTTGGGTGGACCTGGCTGAGCTGGTTCCGTGTTTAGCCTCCGGGTGCGAGAGCTGCATCTGTCCTCCGGTCAGCTGGACGATCCCCAAGACCTGGCCGACCGGGGTTCTTATGACGTACCGTGGGACTTCTCTAACGGGGGATGGGAGGCAGACGGAGGTCTTTGGGGAACAAGGCAAATGTCCCCCTCCTTGCCCCACTTTCTAGGGAGCAGGTGAGGTCTGGAAGCTAGGGTTGCCAACCTCCAGGTGGGACCTGGAGACTTCCTGGGACAACTGATCTCTGGGACAGAGGTCAGTTTCCCCCAGGGAAGAAAACATGGCTGCTTTGGAGGGTGGACTCTATGGCACTGTACCCTGCTGAGGCCCCTCCCGTCCCCAAACCCCCCCCTCCCCAGGCTCCGCCCCCCCAAATCTCCGTGTATTTCCCCATCCGGAGCTGGCAACCCCATCTGGAGCCAAGCGCATCAGAGCTCATCTTACCCACTGGACTTAGAAGGACAAACAAAGCCGCCCACCCCACCCGCCAGCGAACAAAATCGATGTGTTCCAGCCGCACGACGTTGCACCGCGCGGAAATCAAGAAGAGGCCTTGGTTCGTACAAACAAATATCCCTGTGCCAGACGACAGGTGAAGAGTTGAGTGCGCCCCTGTGTACGTACATGTGTGCGAATGGTTAATGCTTGCGAGGTTCCCGCCGGACACACCTGTTAAGGAATCAGGGGAACCCCTGCCGTTCAGAGGTTTCCCGTCAGCTAGCGAGGTGTGCCAATCCGGACAAGGGTAGAGGAACCTTGCAAAAATTAGTGCTTAAAAATAATCCTCACGATAGACCGCCTTTCCAGGTTCCTCTCGGGTTGGGAAGGCTGAAACCTGCCCCCCCCCCCAATAGCGAGGGAACGGGGGACTCACGCGTGACGTTCTCCCCCCACCAGAGCGATCGGAGCAAGGCGGCCAGTAAACTTAACCCATTCGGATCCTGGCCCTATTGCCGATATTTGTGCAAAATGAAGAATGGAGGAAGACTTGGCTATTTGGAAACTGAGACTTAAAAAAAAAAAGTTTTGCTTATTTGATTTCTTGTTCTCTTTTTTTTTCCTTTTTAAAAGAAAATTCTTCTCCCAGTTGCTTTCGGGAGAGAACGATATGGCGTTGTGAGCGAAAAAGAACTCTCTGCTTGCAAACCAGATTAAAAAAAAATTCCAAAACCCCCGAAACAAAATGCTACAGAACCCCCCAAATCACAACTTTCCCTTCTCATCAGTCCGGAATAAAAGAAATCCTGCGGTCGACCCGCAAAAAAGAAATTTAAGACTAGCTTAAAAAAGAAAATAATAACTTACAAAAAAACATATATCAAAATTATTCGCACAGACCCCGCCCTCCACCTTTTCGAACACCCTGATTTCCAGCGAGGAGGGGGGGGGTCTCTAAGGAGTCGGGCGGCAGACGAAAGAGAGAAAGGCACCGACCAACCAACTGGCCACGTCAGGAAGGGGTTTTGCCCGCAGCCAAGCACTTCAACGGGGGCCTGGCGCTCGGCACAGGAACCCCCGCTGCCTCTTCGCTCATTTTTTAAAAAATGGCTTAAAATACGTTTTTTTTTTTTTTTTAAGGAAAAAAAGATCCCATCCGTTTTGCTTCTGCCGCTCTCTTTACAAGTACCCTCCTGTTCCAGGCTGCATAGGTCCGATTAACCAAATAAAAAATATATGTATATATTTTTTTAAAAGTTGGCAACC